AGCATTTTTTCTCTTTCTCCTTCTACTTTTCCAAAAAAAAAAAAAAAAAAAAAACACCAACCAAAAAAAAACCCTTAAGAGAGCTTGCTTCCTGGCTGACACCTCCACAGTTAAATTTAACTCCAGAAATGAAGTTTTATAGCTATATTTTAAATCTCTTGATAGCAGTAAATTATAACGAACACACAGATACAGCCTTAAACTACAGCAGGACACCCAGTACTCGCCTAATTTATTACTCCTACGAGCCACCAACGTCCCTATGACTCCAGTGGTGGAGCCATCAGCAAGTTGCACCAGCTCATCCTAGGCAAGCCAACAGATACTTCATTTTATACTTTTTCCTCAGAGGTGAGTTGTATTTATAGCAGTTTAAATAGTCAGTCAAGTCCTAAGATAGCAAATTAATATTCTTTCAAAGCGAGAGGAAAACACTGATGTTACATTTGTGATTTCAGAGAGACAATTTTCATATAAACTACAGGAAGCCTCACGACCATAAAAGCTGTAAAGCATGTGCTAATGCTGGCTTCCACGGCACTCTGCCCAGCTCAAACCCTATAGCAGCGCCTGCAGAAAAAGGCATTTTATATGGTAATATTTTTTCTTCAATTAAATCTCAGGACCTGATGTGATTCTGTAAACATTAATTAACCCTCAAGAGCAGCATGAGGTAGGTATTATCCCAATTTTATCATTTCATTTTCATTAAAGACGTGCTAGAACTTTATGTGGGCTTTTTTTCATGCAAACCAGAGCAGAGACTGAGCAACTTCATTCCGAATTGCTGGTCATTGCAGGTAAGAGACCCCAGAAGATCCCATTCCCAAACATCTTTTATTGAAAGCACTCCATCCACATACCATTTATTTTTGTCCATTTAGAAAATAATTTCTAATCTCAGGCCACTGATGAGGAAGACCAAACAGCAGCATTTGAACCTCGTGGTACAGAAAGGAGGGCAACAGAGGAGCTGGGGCTCCTGGAAGAAGTGCCCACGAGCAGCTCCAGAGGCTGAATCAACAAGAGATATTGCTTAACAGAGTTAAAAAGCATCTTGCAGCAACTGTTAATGCATCCCTGGTTTCTCCAAGAAGCATGAGAAGTATGGATCAGGTTTGGAAACTTGGCCTGAATGTGAGAATCGACCAAGTCCACTTAAGCTCATGGTGCCTTTATACAGGAATATGAGACTTTTGGGGGATGCAATCAACATATGACCTATAGACAGTCCCTTTGTTGGGAAGCCACGTTGTCCCTGGTTCTTTCAGTAGGTAACTTGGTAGATCGTTCTCATCAGCACATCATGGCCAGTATCTCGGAGAGCAGAGATGACACATTACTGCCAGTTTCCCAGCAGCACCCCCTCTTTACCCCTATTTTTCCCAATACTTTAAAAACTTGAAATTGTAGAGATGCTGAAGAGTAAATAACTTGAAGTAGGGAGAACTGCTGGCGTTCATTGATTCTTCTCTCAAGGAATAACATTGAGCCAGTAATTCAGATTTGTCAGAAAAATGTACACAGAGCTTCAATTTAGGAGGAAGCAATAAATACCTTGATTGATTGCGCCCAAGTCTGGTTGACACTTAGTAGTACAGTGAATTATTCATTCCTGGAAAGCAAGATGCTTACTAGCTGATTTGCTGCTTAAGGCAGCGAACCCATTTTTGTGCTTTCAGAAGGGCACCGGACATTTTGGGGAGATGATTTGTTGACTCCACACGTTAATAACGTTCTACGATTTGTGAAATAACGTCCTTTTGATGCATCACCCTCAGCCTCCCAGATGCAGGCCCCAGGGTATGCACAGGGGAGACTCTCTCATCGACCACCGAGAAGAACCATCCCACCATCCCTCTCCCGACGGCGCAGCCATGATGTGACAGCCACCCCAGATGCGACACACAAATATTGTCTTAATGCAATATGTTCCAAGCACGCACTGGGACACTGCAGAACTATTTAGCAAGGCTCTGGCTATCAATAAACTTTCTGACAAAAGACTGTGGAAAAGAGAATTTGCAAAAGGGCCAATTTGCCATCTAGAACAGAGGTAGAGGCTCGAGACAGATGCTGCTGCCTTCCTTCCTGCTTCCATCTCCCAGCTTGATAAAAAAAACAACCCACCCCGAGGAGATAATTGTGCTGATGCTACGTGTCATTTTTTAAAACTATGTTATCGGCAAACAGTCAGTCTGTTGGTCTACATGCTGAAATTATAGCTCAAAAACTTCCTAAGTAATCTCCCCATTAGGGAAGAATCAGTCAAGTGACGAAGCAATGAATGAAGACAGGATTGCTTTAATCTCTGAAAACCAGAAACTTTTCCTTTAGAAGAGGAGTTGTTTAGAAGAACAATGAAAGCTGCCAGTGACAGCATCTTGAAAAGGGCTGAACTTATTCTGGCATCTCTCCTCCTGGTTCTTTGAAAACTGCACAGTCCCAATTCAGGGATGTCTTTCTCCAAGAGCTATAAAAGCTTTTCTCTCTCCTCGACTCACTTTCACAGGCCCACAGGTGAGAATAAAGTACTTAAAACCATGTGGACCACTTTCCATTTGATGAAACGTTCAGCGTTTAACAACTCCATTCAAGATCTACTCATCTACTGCAGATATTTCTAATCAGACGGTAGAACCGGTAGCAGAGGGAATAGACTGAACTCTGGCAAATAACGTTTATCTAACATCGCTAATGAAATTAAAGAAGTTCATACGTCCCAAGGAGGCAATGACTGTCAGGATACAATGTCACCAAGCACTGTCAAGGATTTTCAACCAACTTCCCATCCTCGTAGGCTCCTCCTGCTTTAACGCATTGGAAAGCAAAGAAGCCCAAACCCAAAGAAGAGGCTGCCACGCACTTAAGCGACTTGTTTTTTTTCTGGAAAGCAAAGAAGCCCAAACCCAAAGAAGAGGCTGCCACGCACTTAAGTGCCTTGGTTTTTTTTTCAGAGTCTCGATGTCTATCAACCTTAAAAGATTGCAATTTCTGATCAGCGTGATAAATTCTGGCAGAGCATATGGGAGAGTTGAGTCGAATCGCTCCTCGCTCGCGAGGCGACAGCTTGTGCTTGCCCCTGCTGAGAAAAGGCTGACGATTGGAAGCTCTTCAAGGAAAGGACCATTTCTTCTTTGCGCGACTTTCACGCACGGTGAGCGCCACCCAAACACAAGCAACACACACTGCTGCTTGCCCAGCTGGGGAATTTGTTTCCGTCCTGACTTCTTAAAGAGAAAAAAAAAAATCTCCAAGGTTTCCGGACTGGGAGGCATTATTCGATAGCAGGGAACTTAAATAGAAACAATCTAAGGAGCTTAGTAGATTGTATCAGCTTTAAAGAAATAATGGGTCAGTAGTTACCTTGGAAGAACATCTGAAATAAAGCCTGCATCTATCTGGGGGAGACAGATGGGAAACTTTCTTAAATACAGATATAAACCATAAAGCATCAGTTGGAGGGTGGCGGGAGTGTTTGAAAAGCATCCAACTGGCCAAGGAATGCTCCTGCTTCCATTTTTTGCTACCTCTTCTAGGCAAAAAAAGTAGCTTAAATTGTGCACACTAACACAGGGCAGATAATTGGGTGTCTGCATGTGGTGAATGTCTGAAATTGAATTTTTGAACTCTTGAGCAGAAGATGCTACTTGCTGACTGCAAGCGCAGCCTGGCTGCAAATTTTGGTAAGACCTGGAATGAAACAAAAATCCTCCAAAGAGAGAGAGACGTGAGACAGAATCACTGCTTAGGAGGCTGATCAGAAGATGCTCAATTATTTAGACTATTTAGATGGGGGGAACCGGGGGCTTGGGGCTCCAGAAAGGAAGGTGGTGCCAAAAAAGGGGATTCTCACAAGGAGAAGTGGTCCCAGAAAGAAGAGGACCTGCAAAGATGAAGGTGATGATCCTGGCTGAAGGAGAGATGCTGAAAGTCAAGGCAGACCCTGGAGATCAGAGAGATGCATGGGGATGAAGGCAGGGGATGTCCAGGGACCTAGGATGGTTACTCCTGTGAGTGGTGGCCACGAGCAGACAGGACTTTCTGCCCAGCCTTCCTGCCCCAGCAGCGCTCTCCTGTGAGAAGGGCCCCAGAGAAGGCAGCGCCGAGGTGGGCAGTGAACAAAAAACCTGAGAAAAAAAAACAAATGGGGTAAAAAGCCTGATTTTACTGGTTCTAAAATAAACCCCAGTGCCCAGATCTACCATGGGCTGCTGCTTACTCTGTCTCAGCCATGACTGTCTCCTGTTTATGTTTTGTGTCAGGGTCCAGCCTCTGAATTCTTGCAAAACCCCACGTTTCTGACACTTCGAAGGGCTGACAATGCTTTTGGGGACCTGCAAGCTTTTTTTTTTTGGATTCTCTGTCCCCTCCTGACCACCAATCTTCTACACAGTTCAAGCTGCAACAGAAATGCTTTCCCAAGGCTTCAGGTTTCTGGAATTACTGTTTTGCTTTTCCAAAAGCATGTGGTATTTGTGGGCAAACACAGCCACACACGCACACAGGCTTTGCAAACAGCTAATAAATACCCTGTTGCTTTCACTGAATTATGAAAGCAGAGAAGTAACAAATCATTAGGAGTCGTCTTCGAATATATTTATCTTCCAC